TCTAATAAATATGTCCTAATGTTTACTCACGTGTCTTACTAAGCCTGTCATACTTACCTTGAGACAGAGGTATGATAAAGCTCACGGTTCAGGGAGAGTGACCTAGTAGCGACCAGTGAAGAGGTGGGTCCAGGAGCTCGGACTCGACCCCTGCAACCTCAACTAGGTGAGTACAACTAGGTGAGTACAGTGTGTTCGGAGTTTGTGTTCACTGCCAGAGAACTGATGAAGACATTTCCTTACAACACTGTGTGATCAGGTTGAATCTCTGTTGTTATATTCCTGTCCCTCTCATGCCTCTGAATATCTTGTATGTCGTGATTTTGTCTCCAATGATTCTTCGTTCTTTCAAGGCACGAGATTCTACTTCATTCCTTCAACTGGCAGACCTATCTGGTTGTGAACCTCTAACCTTCCTCAAGCCTCTATACATGGGTGATTAATTGCAGCCTGCAGTCGAAAGTTGCAGAGATAAGAACATAAGAACGGAGGAATATTGCAGCAGGTTTACTGACCCATAAAAGCCAGGTCCTTATCAAAACCACCCAGACGCTAGCTTTGACCTGACATGTATAGTAACTTCAATTACTTTTTGTTTTTGTAGGTTCCCGAAGGCTTACCAGCCTTACATTCACTGGTGATATGATGCAGTTTGTGTCCCACACAGGGCCGGGTGTAATGAAGCATGCTCAACATATCCACCCGTGCCGGGGATTGAACCACGGATACTCAGTGTGCGAGGCGAGTACGTTGCCAACCGAGCCAAGGGACACATTCCACTACAACTATAAAGAGTGTCTTGATTTATTCAGTTTAAAGATATTTATCATTAGGAAAATAACACTCCAAATTCGTCCTATGTCATTAAATATATTTCGTTCCCAAGAATAAAATACAGCTGTAAACTTATAATAGTCAGAAATGTGTCAGACATGGGTTCACGGCCGGATTTAGGCATTAGCAAATGTAAACTAAATTCTAAAATTTTGGGAAGCCCTTAATCCTACCCGGGTCCCACCAGATCCTTGCTCATTATTACATCAGTTTTTATTGTCCCATATTTCCTATTTGTTCCTCACACATACCACCACACACACACACACCACCACACACACACAACACACACACCCACACACACACACCACACCACATACAATATCAACAAAATAAATATATATATATATATATATATAATATATATATATATATATATATATATATATATATATATATATATATATATATATATATATGATTACTATTATATGTCGTGCGAATAGCAGAACTGCGACCTGGCTTAAATGACACGCTCTCTTGCCATGATAGGGCAAGTGAAATTGGTATGCAATAATTTCGCCAAAATCCATTCCGAACTACGAAAAAAAAATTGCCCTGTTTTGTTTGTATTAAATTATTGACATCTAAATAGTATTGTCAGCTGGTTGGCTTAAAATGAAATGTCTTGTTATATAGGTTAGGTCAATTTCCTAATAGCTTGTGGAGCAATTAAAAAAAATTACATTAACATTAATGGAAAAAAATATATCTTAACGTATATGGAAATTTTAGAAAGGACTTAATTTAAATGAGTCTGCTAATTGACGTTAATATCGGCACGACATAATATTATATATATTTAAAATATATAATATATATATAATTATATATAATACTGATTACCTGAGTTATTCGGGATCAACACCCCGCGGCCGGTCCATGACCAGCCCCGATGGTCAGGGCCTGATCAACTAGCTGTTACTGCTGGCCGCACGCATCCAACGTACGAGCCACAACCCGCTGATCCGCACTGACTTTAGTATCTGTCCAGCTCTCTGAAGCAGCCAGTGCTTATTGGCATTCCCTAATGCTTAGGGAGTTGACATTTTGGCCTGACACTTATGGTGTTTCCCTTAGCGTACCAAAGGCGCCCCACTTTTTATTGGGGCATTTGCATCGCTCCAGCTTACTTCGTAGGAGTGTTCTGTGTGCAATTGGACCATTCTTCCAGATTTCAAATGTAGATTATGATATATCTCTCCCTCCTGCGTTCCAACGAGTACAAGTCAAGTGCTTCCAAGCGTTCCCAGTAGTTAAGGTGCTTGACAGAACTTATACGTGCAGTAAAGGATCTCTGTACACTCTCTAGATCTGCGATTTCACCTGCTTTGAATGGAGATGTTAATGTACAACAGTATTCCAGCCTAGAGAGAACAAGTGATTTGAAAAGGATCATCATTGGCTTGGCATCTCTCGTTTTGAAAGTTCTCATTATCCATCCTATCATTTTCTTTGCACGTGCGATCGTGGCACTGTTGTGATCCTTGAAAGTGAGATCCTCAGACATTACTACTCCCAGGTCCCTTATATTATTTTCCGCTCTATTGTATGGCCGGAGTCAGTAGTATACCTGTTCTAGTTATTATCTCCTCCAGTTTTCCATAACGGAGTAGTTGGAATTTGTCCTCATTGAACATCATATTGTTTACCGTTGCCCACTGGAAAACTTTGTTTATATCTTCTTGGAGGTTAACCGCGTCCTCAGCAGATGACAGTTTCATGCAGATCCTAGTATCATCCGCAAAGGATGATACGGTGCTGTGGTGTATATCTCTGTCTATGTCTGATATGAGGATAAGGAATAAGATGGGGGCGAGTACTGTGCCTTGTGGAACAGAGCTCTTCACTATGGCAGCCTCCGATTTAACTCTGTTGACTACTACTCTTTGTGTTCGATTTGTTAGGAAGTTGAAGATCCATCTCCCCACTTTCCCAGTTATTCCTTTAGCACGTATTTTATGGGCTATTACACCATGATCACATTTGTCAAGTGCGCACATATATATATGTCATGTGGGTTCGATAAGCGTGCCCGTTGAGGCTGGCAGACGTGACCTCTCACCTGCTGGCACCCCACAAACAATCTTCTAAAGTCTGAAATACCCGTAAATCCACTCCCACACTGCTGTCACCAATTTGTCATGTGGGTTCGATAACGTAGACGGGAGTAAGAACACTCACGTAGGCTGGTTAGTACGTATAATTATAACGGAAAGTATGGGAAGCACCATACTGCCCTGCCTCTCTCTGCTCTCTATCTCAGACAGACCCACCAGTGTCTAGAGGGTGAGCGGTGTTTAAAAACATGCTATGGTCAGCAGCAACGTGAATAACAGTCAGTGATTCACACAGACGGTTGGTAGTGAGTCATCTACTGGTAACTGGTTACTGGTACTACTGATATATATATATATATATATATATATATATATATATATATATATATATATATATATATATATATATATATATAAGGAATTCGCGAGAGCAGGCGAAATATACACAAACACTGATCTCTGGCTGAAGGAGACTCGAACCTACGAACCTTAGGACAAGGTATGCAGTGCTTTACCAATCTACCCATACTGGACAATATCTTGGCGTGTAGCTTGCGCTACACGTTTGATCCAAGGCAGCCAGATTTCAGGGAGAAGGCTTACAGCTTTTCATCTCATCCCCTGCATGCATCAGCCTTACTAGAGATTTTAACAATGCAAGGAATTCGGGAGAGCTAATATATATATATATATATATATATATATATATATATATATATATATATATATATATATATATATATATAATATATATTATATATATATATATATATATATATATATATATATATATATATATATATATATATATATATATATATAATATATATATTATTATATATATTATATATATATAATATATATTATATATATATATATATATATATATATATATATATATAATATATATATATATATATATATATATATATATATATATATAATTTTTAATTATTTTTGTACTCTGTAAAGGCATAAGTAAGTAAGTTTATTCAGGTATACACAAATACAGTTACATAGAATTATCATACATAGCAGCATATGTGTAGAGAACCTGGGATAACCCAAAAAAGTCAGAGTGACTTATTGATCGACACCATGCCTAACCCTTCTAGGGTAGGGTAGGTGCCTGAGCCCGAGCCTTTAGCTCATAAGACCGTCATTCCCATTTGCCCCCTTGGGGCGGGGATGGCAGACCAGAGAGGCCTAGCTTGTGGCTAGGCCTGGGGACAGTTGGTCCCAAAGATGAGGAGGTACTTGTGCCTCCTCCCATGGGAGACTTAGGTCTCAGACACTCCCTAAAGAGGGAGCCAAGGCCGGGCCACCACTTGGAAAAGGCCCGGGCCGGGAGAATACCGGCTAATCTTTAATAATAATAATAATAATGAGTGACTTATTTCCATTGGGGTCCTTTTACCTTATTATTATAATATAAAGGTTATAATATTTTCTTATTATTCTACAATGAAGATATCTTATTATCATACTAAAAAGACTATCTACTACACCAAGGTCATTAAGACTATCTACAATACGAGGGTCATTACTAGGAATAAGGTAAAATTTACACGTATGTTAGCTAAAAAATAGAAAATCATTCCCCTCCCTTTCTGTAGCTACATTCATCAGACACCTTTTGGCACTCTTCTTGAACTGGTTCACGCTATGACTGGCTTTGACATGTGCGGGTAGTCTGTTCCATTCCTTTATTGCTGTACAATAAAAGGTGTTTGAAGCCTGGCCACTGACTGTGGGTACTACAAAGTTGTGCTCTCTCCCCCTAGTACTATGATTGCTTTGGTTCCCAACCTTGACAAAATTGACAGCAAGATATTCTGGAGACTGTTTGTGAGCAATTTTATAAACATGATTTAGCTTCAGTTGTTTTACTCTGTCTTCAACATTCAGCATATCCAACTGCATTAACTGCCGAATTAAAATTTCCAACTGCAACTTCAATAATTCAACTCACTACTGTACAGATTTATACAAGGTCGCGAGGGACGACCCATACATTACTTACTGCACTAATAAAGTGAAACCCCTGGCAACCCCTGTGTTGTTTCTCCCTCAGCGTGAGGGGCGAGTCCCACCCAGCTTCCCCTCACCACTACCCTAGCTTTGAATACTCTCTTGCCTCCTGACGCTGACACCAGGGTTGTGTCGACACCATGGCGCACGGCCAGACAAGTGTGCTGCAGCACTTTGAAATTGATCATTATGTGGAGAAATTAGAGTGCATGGGTATAGAAGATATACTTTCAACAAGGTTAGTCAGTGTGTTGATAGTTTGAGAGCGTCCCCCTGTTGTCATGGTGATCAACCACCACCCATCACACCTGTCTTGTGCTACACCTGTCTTGTGTTACACCTGTGTTGAATGTTGCGACAACTGTTATTGCTAGTATTACTACTACTACTACTAATAGTAGTAGTACTAGTACTACGACTACTACTACCACTACTAGTATTATTACTTCTAGTATTACTACTACTACGAGTAGCACTAGTACTACGACTACTAGTAGTAGTATTAATACTACTGCTACTACTACTACCACCACCACTAGTATTATTACTACTACTAGTATTACTTCTAGTAGTATTACTACTACTAGTATTACTTCTAGTAGTATTACTACTATTACTAGCATTACTACTACTGCTACTATTACTAGTACTACTGCTACTAACTTATTATTATTATTCCTATTATTACAACAATGGGGATCGCTAAACTCGTAGGCGTCATACAGCTCCTGAGTAATGGGGAATGGGAGGTAATCAGCTCGATCCAAGAAAGGTGATGATATTTAAGCGCATCAGAAACTTATGTCACACTCTGTACTGTTCCTTTCGCATGCACTGAGGCAAAGGAGTATGGCATACGGGGCTCACTTTTCTCGGGTTGCGCCGGGACCGATACAATTCTAGTTTCATCTATATAAGGGTGTTTTTCACATGTGGGCGGCAGGTGGGCGGTATGCGGGTGTCGGCTGGTGCAGTTGGGCGTGCAGGCAGCTCTGGAGGCCACCCACGGCACCCATGACTACGTTCAGCACTCTATCACCCTTCAGAACAAGGTCAGTCTTCAGTTCGTCCTCCAAATTAAGGTCAGTCTCAGCTTAAGTTTAAGGTCAGTCTCAGCTTAAGTTCCTTCTACCCCTCAAATTTAGGCATTGTGTATATGAGTATATACAATGAGAACTTTATTTAATCCCCGTTTTAAGGGTTCGAATATTCTTGAGGTGAAGAGTGGTCCTCATGGCCCTAATACCCGTCATGGCCCTAATACCCGTCATGGCCCTAATACCCGTCATGGCCCTAATACCCGTCATGGCCCTAATACCCGTCATGGCCCTAATACCCGTCATGGCCCTAATACCCGTAATGGCCTTAATACCCCTCATGCTGATGACTGACAACCCAACAACTCTCACATAAGGATAACTTTTTGAAACATTAATTTTCATAATGTTTATTAATATCAGCATACCATAAACATTATAGACGAGGAGTGAAATGTGTAAAAAACCATAAAAGCAAGTTTTTGAAGGTGAATCTCCCGCTAGCGTGGCTGTGTCGAACTCTAGTTCAAGTCTCCTAGTTGGAAGAATCTTATTGTAACCAATATGAGCATCTGTTGACCTTTGTTAAATTAATAAATTGAATGATATAACGGTTACTTAATAATAATAATTTACTGATTTGGAGAGTGTCAGGGAGATGAAGGTATTAACTGTCACCTACAGGGACTGACGGTGGTGTGGCACCTACTGACAGCTGAGGCCTGGAGACTGCACCTACTGCCTCACCTAATGAACCACCCTCACCTCACACCTACCTCATCTCTGCCCTTCGTAGCAGTGGTGAGTTAACACAGACAGTACATCTTATTCGGATTATTGATCCCAGAGGGTTAATCCCAAAACAAGACAAGTTGTGTGGCTTATTTTCCACCGGAGCTTGTAGGTACTTCCCCAGGATGCGACCACAAGAGTCCACCAGCGCTTGTAAGTGGGAATAAGTGAACAAAAGCAAGTGGATGTGTTCGTGTCTTGTAAATATTTCAAGTTTCCTGATAACTACATTTTCACCCAATTATACTAGCCTAATTATTTTGGAAAATGTCGGTTCATAACTCCTGGGCCCCCGCTCTTACCTAGTCACATGTCCACCGTCATAAAGGATGTCTAACCCCGAAGGTGAGATCGTATCTATCCTCGAAACTCTGTATGATGATTGCATTCCTCTCATCTCGATCTAAGGAACTAGATCTATCCTTCCCTTTCTTGGATCGAATCTCGCTGCATCCCATTTCTCAAGACACTGTATGACCCCTGCTCGTTTGGAGCTCCTATATTAACGTAATAATAGCTAGATTCGTTGCGGTCACTGCGTGATCTAGGAAATGTACCCCGAATTAAACAAGCCTAGCCCCCTCTACCTCACTGCAAGGGAAATTAATAGTACAGAGTGCAGCGTAAGTTTCTAACGCAGTTATAATTCAGAACTGAAAATTTGAAGGTAGAAAAGGCATTCATAATTTATCGTATGGAAACTAATATATCAATTTCTTCAATAAAAAAACCTACACAGCCCAATACCAGTTCAAATCTTCCACTAAGTAATATATGCCAGTTTTAAAAGTTTACAGCCAATCAGAAGAGACATTTACTAGTTATTACACACAGACCACTATTCCCAAACTCACCATCACTTGAAGTTTGAAACCTTAGCTATAGTCTCATGCCTTGCCCTCGAAAAACCTCTCCTCCTCTTCGCTACCTCTCTTCTGCTCTACACTTCTCTCTACCTCAGCTGCACACGGAGGCGGCGGCACTGGGTCTACTGGAGAACCTGGTCTTCCACGAGGACTCTGCTGCAGCCCTGGAGGGCCTCACCCTCGATGTGATCGACTACTGTGTGAGACAACTTAACCGTCTGGTGGTCCATGCTCACAACCACCCAGAGCAACCACTCCTTTATCAACCTCAGGATGCGTGGCCCACCGCCACCCCTACAATGAATAGTAAGAGAGAGAAAGAAGGAACAGACGAAATCCTTAAAGCACTTGTAAACAATTATCAGAGTAACAAAAGTAAACAGTAGTCATTTCTCTGCTATAATTTGCAACCAAAACAGGATAAACTTGTTAGATTTCGACTTTTTGTGATTGGAATTCTCATGGGTTCGCAGTTCTGTCGCCTCTTGGAATGATTCTAAAATTATGATTTTAATGGATATTATAGGCATAACAGAGTTTTTCTCGGGTCGAAAGAAATTCTGACTCTGTTTATTCATCATTTTCTTCCGTGTAGGAAAGACGAAGACTGAGGTAGGAGGAGGTGATGACGGAGGGAATGAGGAGAACCAAAAAAGTGTAGTGATGGAAGTGTCCTCAGAGGAGCGTCGTGTAGGCCTGGCTCTGGGGTGTAGAGCAGCTGGTGTCATCCACCTGTTGGCCAGCTGTCGTCAGCGCCTTCCGTTGTGTGCTACCACCCGCCTGCTGCAAACACACGACGTACCACAGCTTTTGGCCTCCCTGCTATACCTGGCACCCTGGAGGGCGCAGCTTGGCAGCCGCCTGTATGTGTTTCAGGAGGGCCAGTGGGTGGAGCAGCAGGGAGAAGCTCCCGCCCTCACACCCACAGAGTGCCAGCTGTGGGCGGCGCTTCACACTCTTCTGATGGATCAGGAGACACTTGCCATGTACGAGGTGAGCAGCGGCAGGAGGGCGGCTCTTCTCAAGCTGCGTGGTCGACTGAATGCTGCTGCCCTGGCTCAAGTGCCATCACTGGAGTCTCTCTCACGCTGGCTGGCCACCCTGGCACTCACAGCCCCCCAGCAGGCACGACCTCCGCCCCTCGTCACCACAGTCTCACAGGTGAGTGCTTCTCTCTTTCATTCTTTCAGTAACCCAATTTGTGAGGAATTAAAATCATGTGCAACACCTGGGAATCTTTATTTGAAGATTTTTCGCCCACCAGTGTTTTTTTCAATTCAATACAGGGGTGATATACGAAGGGATTCGACAGTATTTTCAAAATTGAAACTTACATTTGAAGCACTTCATTTCAGTATTATTGTAACCATATTCCTTAAAGGCTTAGAAAAAAAAGCTAGAAAATACTTTTACAGTACAGGACATGTGAATACGTGGAAGGAGCTTAATAGAGGTCAGATACCTGCTACACCAGCCTTTTGAAAGCTAAGAGGCAAATATAAGAACGGCTGTTAAAGATCTATGCAGATGCTCCTTCGGATCACTCTGCAGCACATGCGTCAAATCAATCTTCGAGTAAACAGCACCAGTGTGAGGCCCTCACCTAGGCAATCACAAAGCGAAACTCAGGGAAGTTCTCATGCATGCTACAGGCCTCTTCCCTGAGTTTAGCTATGAATTGAGACTGCCCGAGCGAAAACAAACCTTGCCTCTGGAGAAACACAGAACGAGGAATGTGATCACAACATACAAATACTCCGGGGTATAGACAAGGTAAACATAGACATGATCCTTATCAGGAAGGGAATATAATAACGAACACACCCAGAAGAGTTAAGGAAGCAGGAGGAAAGCAAAAATTTGATGTAAAAGCAGTAAGGAAGTAGAACAAAGTAGATACCGACGCAATAGAAGCCGACTCCTCACTGGAGCATTATGACCAAGATAATTCATCTATTGGAACACAGTGTAACTATCATTTATTTGGTATAAACCTTGGTAACTGATACCGACACACTGGTTTAGCAAGACACGTGAGCAAGCACTAGGACATATTTATTAGAAAACGTGTTAGAAGTGATCAATGTCCCAGGACCGTAACGTTTCCTAATGTCCTAGTGGTTGCTCAAGCGTCTTTCTTAACCGATCATTTATCAGTGTAATATGTAATATCTATAATGACTAGGATAGCCGCACATGGCTGGTGTAGGTACGTTTGGTAACAAATAGGTATTTATTAGTAAATAATAGGACTCTCACCACCACTATAACACTGAGGCCACAACACCACAGCTGGGTGCGGGCGTGGCAGGCGTGTGGGAGGACCGCTGGGAGGAGCTGGCGGCTGTGCTGGAGCCTAGGTTCCTCACGCCCACGCCTGAAGCCTTGAATATCCTCGCCAAGAATCTGGCCGCGGCCTGGGACCTAGACGCTCTGGAGGCTCTCCTGCCAGACAACCCCGTCTGCGCCCTCTGCGGTGAACCAGCTGGCCGCAGGTGCTCCAGGTGTCGCGCTCACTGGTACTGTCGCAGGTGAGATCCTTCTTGAATAACAGTTCTCTGAACTCAAAACATCTTAAGAATAAAATACCACTGAAAAATAGTATGGTGATACCGACAAGATGTGGAACAAAACACTTATGTACTATCCAGGACATGTATTCTTCAGGACTGAAGAAGTCACTCGGGGCGAAACGTTTCCTCAAATAAATGTCCAGAACTATACATAAATGTCTTTTTATCCACATAGAATACCATTTCCCCACAAATGTCTGCGTAGTTAAGCCAGTGTTTGAGAGCACCAGTCTTGATTTAGAAGAGACAGACATAGCTTTACTTAAAAAAAAAAATATGTTTTATACTGTGTCCGAAGTACAATGAATAAAAAAAAAGAAATTTTTCTCAGGCACGAAATCTATGGAGCCCAGAGAGTCTGAGATAACGTGCCAGAAGTTACAATGTTGACCGGGGATGAATTTTATGATTTAGCTCAACTATTGGAGATTAGGTGAGACTAGAGTGCACAACGTGTGCTCTTTCACACCCATCTGATTTTCTTTAAGAATATATTGTTTATTTTTTTAAAATAATGTAGAGACATTAGAGAGGGTTCATGTAAATAAGTCAGGCGGGTGAACCCATCACTAGACTACAACCAATATTCAGCTGTGGATCCCCATATACTACACTAAACTTGAGTTATATAGACACTAACGGGATGAAATTGTGGACCCAGTGGCTAAAGTTCATTCTTAATTTGTGTAAAACATTTTATCAGTCTGTCTGTATATCTCTGTATCTACCTGTCTATTTATGTCTCTGTCTCACCGTCTCTCTCTCTCTCTCACATCATTTCACGGACCGAAGAAAAGCGTATAAGCAGCACTGGTCTATTATAAAGTAAATACCGTACGGAAAAATAAGGTGTGAGCTCAAAACTGATGCAAACATGTAATAACCTATAAATACGCACGAACGAGGAAGTGAAAGGATAAATATGTTTAATAAGATACATATCCTTTGCATGAGTTAGGTTAATATGTCTCTTCTTTTTCACCTTTTTACCCAGGGAGTGTCAGGTCAAGCACTGGCCCGACCACAAGAAGCTCTGTGACCTTTTGGCCTCCGACCTCACAGCAAAGAAAAGCACTTTCATAGAGTAGAAGAAGTTACTGATCTCACACTCCTGCCGCCGGGAAATCCATTCCTAGAGTGAAGGCAGCAGCTATGTCATCTGACTCGCTATAAGGAAAGCCTCTTTCATACGGTGAAGGAAGCAGCTATGTGTGGAGTGGTTTTTGACCGCATCGCCATACAGTGAAAAAATGAAAGTATGTTAGAAGAGGTTGTGAGTCGACAAGTGGCTGTAAAAGACACAGGCACACATATAACATTCGAGGGGTAAAATGTTCCCCCTTGAAGAGGAATGTCGTTGTCATGAAGTTTTAGTTTTGCCCTTTTTCACCCGTAGAAAATATTGTAGGATAGATTCTGTGGCCTTGGTAAGTACGCATGTTGTGTTAAGAATAAATAAGGAAGATTGTTATATATTTTTTGTTTCATTACGATAGCTAGACGATGCTGGTGTATACAAGTGTGGGGTGTATTTGTTTGAGTTTTGATTTCTATTTTCCTTGATTCTGTGTGTGACTGTTTATTTCACCCGAGACGCGCACTTAGGAGAGAAACCTCATAACGACGTTACGGTCCCTCCTGGAACCACTCTCAAGTCGTATATTGAAAGGTATTCAGTAGTGACAAGTTGAAGAATTCGATACGTGTTCAACATATGGGTATCTTTATTTGTAGACATTTCGCCACTGGATGGCGAAACGTCTACAATAAAGATACCCACATGTTGCACATGTGTCTCATTCTTCACTCTCGAGTCATAAGTGCGGGTCTATGGTGAAGTGTTCCAGCCACGGTACTGTGACTTTTGTTTTTTTAGTTTAGGTGTAAGTGAGGTTGCTTCGTTAGTGTGAGTATGCCTTGGTTGGGTGAAGTTGTGGTTGTCATGGCGTCACACTCGTAGCACAGTTGTGGTTATCATGGCCTCACACTCGTAGCACAGTTGTGGTTATCATGGCCTCACACTCGTAGCACAGCTGTAGCTGTCATAGCCTCACACTCGTAGAACAGTTGTGGTTGTCATGGCCTCACCCTCGTAGCACAGTTGTGGTTGTAATGGCCTTATATAGCACAGGTTTATTGATATCATTAGCCATGAAAAGCAGAAATAAGAACTAGAGGTAATCTTCAATGTGTTTTTCTTGAGATTCATATTTTTTTAGGCAGTTTAAGTGTAGATAAAAATTTGACAAATACGTGTCTCTGTTTTCCAATATCTTACAGAAATATGTAAGTCACAAAATGAAACCTTGGAAACCTATTAATTTATTGGCGTACTAATTTGTTGACAGACATCAAAGCAAGAGGTTTAAAATGCATTCCATTATTTCTCTTCTGATTATAAAATAATTGAGCCGTTATGACTACCTTAGGATAAAAACGTAATGACAAAAATGATTTGTCTAGGGCGGAGCAGGACAGACTAACTTCCCACTAGTCTCGATACGACACCTGTAACATTTATCAGAAAATCAATTAGCGGAGCCTAACTTTCTGAACTCATTACGTTGTTATACTTGTCCAATAAACGTGTTCTCAGTGGTGATAAAAATAAAACACTGCAGTCCATTTTTTGCTCTGGCTAATCGTGGTGGAACTGAGTAATTTCGTGTAATAACACGGCCTTTTTTCAGTGCTAGAGTTGAAGAGTCCAATTAGTATGTCCGGTCTGTGTTTATAGGCTATCACAACCCCAGTACATCCCACAGAATGTGCAATGAAGACACATGCCACCATTAAGGTATTCACTAGAAGACGCTTTGCCCTGGTCAGGGACTGGGCCGCGGGGGCGTTGACCCTTGGCACGACCTCCAGGTAGACTTCAGGTAGTCCTGAAGCTTTATTGACTTGATAAAACTCACAGCAGGCGTAATTGTTACTGATAAATATTCTAAGTTTACTAAATTTAAAACGAAAAACTTTCGTTTTTCTTTTTAGGTCACCCTGCATCAGTGGGATACGGCCGGTTGCTAAGTGTTGCTTGTGCACAATTTGTGGCTATATTATACGTAGTATAATATAAGGGTGTTAATGTTGCACTTTTATAACTGTAGTGTAAGCGTGCCTCTGGATAGACAGTGATGGAGTAAATGATGGTGAAAGTTTTCCTTTATCGGGCCACCCTACCTTATTTAGTGCTTGTATTGTTTCAGAGAATGATTTGCCATCGCCTGTAGGTATAATAATGATGTTTCTGCTTATATCAGTCAATTGGCGAAATTGACGGTATTGAATACCATTCTTGTACAATTTGTCAGACACTGCAACATCATGTAATCTTGATACTGAGGACATGTACATAACCTTCACGACTACGACAACTACCACTACTACAAACCCATCTCTTTGGGTAGGACCTACCTCCACTGGGGAATCCCGCCTACCAGTGACTATGCCCTCGATTGCTACACGTCCCCTTTCCACGTGACGTTAGTATATAAGCGCCAGGCTCCTTGCCTCTGCTTCAGAACCTCAATGCCTCACGTGCCTCCACCTTCCTCCACCAATGAGAAACCGCCTCCAACACGAGCCACCACATCCATCAAGACACGAGCAGCGTCCTCGTCTTCCAACACCAACAAAACTAACCAATCATCGACTTCACTTGTCGCTCACTCTAAGGATAAACAACACTATAATACGATACGTGGATTCTCTTTCTTCACTACTCCTGAGTATCCTAAAGAAATGGATGCAAAGACATTGATCCCCCTGCTCCAGAGCGACGAAGTCAAGTTCGTCTGTAGACCATCACGTGCTCTCTTCCTTAGAGAACTCATCAATCTCCTTAATGCTCCAGAGATCGACCCAGACCGCAAATTTAAACTCATGACCATGCAAATACCGTCGCTCCAGAATCTTTGTAATGGGTCAGTAGCTTAACACACCTCAAGCCGACCTCCACCAATACAACTCATCCTGCTTGCTGCCTTCTGACACTCCCAGCTCCTGCCGCTGCTTACGCCATCCTCCCCTATCGAGCCAAGTACCGACATCATCCAAGCCTCTCCATCTACGCCTCCAATACTTCGGTACCACATGTCCCAAAGTGGTTGGGCCACTTGCCTTGATTCCTCCTCTTCCCCTGCTTCCCATCCTTTTCCAGTTACTTCCATCCTTCCCATCTCACGACAGCTCTCGTCGTCTTCTTCGATTCTTCTTCTTGCTTCAGAATCTCCACGACCACGGTGTTCTTCGCACCAACTCCAAGGCTGAGAGACTGATTACCTCATCTTCTGTATATAGTTCTACTGTCTTCAAATTATGTCCTGGAATTTTTATTGATAAAGCCACTGGATTTCGAAACGTCTACAATAAAGATACCCAGATGTTGCACATGTCTTAATTTCATCTTGTCGGTACTGTATACCATTCTTCTACAGTCAATTGGTGTATGAGATCTAGCTCGAAAAAAATATGTAGCTACTTTAACAGATGGTGCATTTATTTTACCATTAAAGAGGTTGAAAATCATTGACTATAGCTTCTACTTGTACATCCATGGTATACAGTACCGCAAGATGATGAAATAGAAACATGCGCAGCACCTGGGTATCTGTATCTGTAGGCTTTCCACCATCCAGTGGATTGCGAAACGCCTACAAATAAAGATACCAATATGTTGCACATGTGTCTAATTCTCTAACTTCTAGTTGTTTGGTGACTTCGCTTTGCGGTAGTTAAGATTCACAGTCTAACTTAATTAACCCACTCTTCAATTCTTGGCTTGAAGAAGGTCTAATTTGATAGTGGAATGATAAAAGAATGAAAAGTATGTGTTTTTTTTATACACTTGTTAAATATGCTGATAGGCCTATCTGATAAGGACCTGTTATAATTCGGCTAAGATTACAGTTTTCACAATGGAATCAAAACTGTTACACGAGAGACTCTTCAAAGGTGTTAATGACTCGCTGTCTAGAGCTCAAGATCCAGTAGGAGAACGCAGAAATGAAGATGAAGTCAGTGCCAATACCCCAGGTGATCCCAGCTAGATTAAAGATCCTGTCATACTGTGGAGGGGGTTTTTTCGGCGCAGGAGACGGGATCTTTGCTAAGGTTTTCTGGGAACTAATGCTTGACACGTATTTAAGCTCCAAAACAGTGTTAATATCCGTCGATTCTACTTCGGATGATGTGTCTCCGTCTAGATCCGTTTCACTGACTTCGTGAATGCCGTTCTCCGTCGTAGACACTTCTCCATTCTCAACCCTTTGCCTCTCTTCTCTCTTTTTGCGGCGGTTTTCAAGCAGGTAGAGAACCGAGTGGTGGGCAAAGGTCTTGAAAAGACGGACGATGAAGTAGAAGAAATACACGTCGATGACCTTGGGAGAAGAAGACTGAGGAATGGTGAAAGTGATCTGGGAGTACAGGGCCGCTATCACGATCAGGCACGAGAGCGTCACGCTGATCCGTTCACTGAAGACATAACCACAAATCTTATTAGAAACTAGAGACACAAATTAATGAATGGACACGCAAATGACGATGAAAACAAATTTAAATTAATTAGATTTCGCTGTTGATTAGAATTTTGGCGCCAGTTACTCAACAGTTGATTTGGGTGATAATGGATTTTGAGGGCGGGACCAGCTAAATGCAACAATTATATTGCAATATTTGTATGGAGCTCTCATTACAAGTTTTGTAATGTGGAAAATGTGAAACAATGATTTTTAATATAGCAAGGAAGTACGATAATGCAGTAAAGGTCCCAGATTTGCTCTGACAGATTACAGTACCTTAATTAAAGAATAACTTGGCTAGCGTAGAATGCGATAACCTGACCAGTGGTTGTAGCATTGAAGAACTTACTAACGAAGAGAAATGCCAATATATCTTTCTAAATATTGTACAAGCTGGTAATTAGTCTATTCAAAATATCGCTTCAAACGGGTTTCGTGCTGAGGATATTTACGACTCACTTTACATGGGTTCAAATCCCACCCGTTCCCTGGTTTGTTTATCTGCGTTATTGCGAGTTTGTGAGTCGTGATGACAATGCACAAAACGGGAACTAAATCTCTACCCTCAAATTATCGCTCAATAAGCCTGACCTCAATAGCAGACATTATTAAAATCAAGTATAACTGATATACTTGGAAGTCAACCCTTGACGAATATAATTTGATTAATGAGTGACAACACATAGTCACAGTGTACGACACACCTGAAGTCCGAGGTTCTGAAGTAGAGAGTAGTGAAACCAATGATTCCCAGGATCCAGCAAGGAAGGAAGGTAGTCAGCAGGTATGCTCCGAACTGACGACTCAACAACACCTGAAACACCACCATCAGTGAAGCTGTGTTGTGCTCATTAACCTTTATAATACATATGTATCTATACATCTTACAAGTATTTTATATATATATATATATATATATATATATATATATATATATATATATATATATATATATATATATTTTATTATATATATAAAAATTTTTTGGAGTGAGTTAAACAAGTTAAGAAAGCCTAGAGAACGAATGGATTTGTCACTTAAATACAGAGTAGGGGAGTTAGTAGATGGGGAGATGGAGGTTTTGGGTAGATGGCGAGAATATTTTGAGGAACTTCTAAATGTCGACGAAGAAAGGGAAGCGGTAATTTCATGCACTGGCCAGGGAGGTATACCATCTTTTAGGAGTGAAGAACAGGATGTGAGTGTGGGGGAGGTGCGTGAGGCATTACGTAGAATGAAAGGAGGTAAAGCAGCTGGAACTGACGGGATCATGACAGAAATGTTAAAAGCAGGGGGGGGGATATAGTGTTGGGGTGGTTGGTATTTTTGTTTAATAAATGTATGAAAGAGGGGAAGGTACCTAGGGATTGGCGGAGAGCATGTATAGTCCCTTTATATAAAGGGAAGGGGGACAAAAGAGATTGCAAAAATTATAGAGAAATAAGTTTACTGAGTATACCAGGAAAAGTGTACGGTAGGGTTATAATTGAAAGAATTAGAGGTAAGACAGAATGTAGAATTGCGGATGAGCAAGGAGGCTTCAGAGTGGGTAGGGGATGTGTAGATCAAGTGTTTACATTGAAGCATATATGTGAACAGTATTTAGATAAAGGTAGGAAGTTTTTATTGCATTTATGGATTTAGAAAAGGCATATGATAGAGTGGATAGGGGAGCAATGTGGAAGATGTTGCAAGTATATGGAATAGGTGGTAAGTTACTAAATGCTGTAAAGAGTTTTTATGAGGATAGTGAGGCTCAGGTTAGGATGTGTAGAAGAGAGGGAGAATACTTCCCGGTAAAAGTAGGTCTTAGACAGGGATGTGTAATGTCACCATGGTTGTTTAATATATTTATAGATGGGGTTGTAAAAGAAGTAAATGCTAGGGTGTTCGGGAGAGGGGTGGGATTAAATTATGGGGAATCAAACAAAATGAGAATTGACACAGTTGCTTTTTGCTGATGATACTGTGCTTATGGGAGATTCTAAAGAAAAATTGCAAAGGGTAGTGGATGAGTTTGGGAGTGTGTGTAAAGGTAGAAAGTTGAAAGTGAATATAGAAAAGAGTAAGGTGATGAGGGTATCAAATGATTTAGATAAAGAAAAATTGGATATCAAATTGGGGAGGAGGAGTATGGAGGAAGTGAATGTTTTCAGATACTTGGGAGTTGACGTGTCTGCGGATGGATTTATGAAGGATGAGGTTAAATATAGAATTCATGAGGGAAAAAAGGTGAGTGGTGCGTTGAGGTATATGTGGAGACAAAAAACGTTATCTATGGAGGCAAAGAAGGGAATTACCTGGAGTTTACCTGGAGAGAGTTCCGGGGGTCAACGCCCCCGCGGCCCGGTCTGTGACCAGGCCTCCTGGTGGATCAGAGCCTGATCAACCAGGCTGTTGCTGCTGGCTGCACGCAAACCAACGTATGAGCCACAGCCCGGCTGGTCAGGAACCGACTTTAGGTGCTTGTCCAGTGCCAGCTTGAAGACTGCCAGGGGTCTGTTGGTAATCCCCCTTATGTATGCTGGGAGGCAGTTGAACAGTCTCGGGCCCCTGACACTTATTGTATGGTCTCTTAACGTGCTAGTGACACCCCTGCTTTTCAGTTCAGTTTAATATGTTTATTATGCAACCCATACCCATCCTGTGGGCGGTAGTCAAAAGATTACAGAGGTACATAATTGGTCCAGGGACTGGACTCCAAAGTTTTGATAGCTGAGCAAGTTACAAAGGTAATGGGGGATGTTGCATCGTCTGCCAAGTCTTTTGCTTTCGTAGTGAGTGATTTTTGTGTGGAAGTTCGGTACTAGTCCCTCTAGGATTTTCCAGGTGTATATAATCATGTATCTCTCCCGCCTGCGTTCCAGGGAATACAGTTTTAGGAACCTCAAGCGCTCCAAGTAATTGAGGTGTTTTATCTCCGTTATGCGCGCCGTGAAGGTTCTCTGTACATTTTCTAGGTCAGCAATTTCACCTGCCTTGAAAGGTGCTGTTAGTGTGCAGCAATATTCCAGCCTAGATAGAACAAGTGACCTGAAGAGTGTCATCATGGCTTTGGCCTCCCTAGTTTTGAAGGTTCTCATTATCCATCCTGTCATTTTTCTAGCAGATGCGATTGATACAATGTTATGGTCCTTGAAGGTGAGATCCTCCGACATGATCACTCCCAGGTCTTTGACGTTGGTGTTTCGCTCTATTTTGTGGCCAGAATTTGTTTTTGTACTCTGATGAAGATTTAATTTCCTCGTGTTTACCATATCTGAGTAATTGAAATTTCTCATCGTTAAACTTCATATTGTTTTCTGCAGCCACTGAAAGATTCGGTTGATGTCCGCCTGGAGCCTTGCAGTGTCTGCAATGGAAGACACTGTCATGCAGATTCGGGTGTCATCTGCAAAGGAAGACACGGTGCTGTGGCTGACATCCTTGTCTATGTCGGATATGAGGATGAGGAACAAGATGGGAGCGAGTACTGTGCCTTGCGGAACAGAGCTTTTCGCGTAGCTGCCTCGGACTTTACTCTGTTGACGACTACTCTCTGTGTTTTGTTAGTGAGGAAATTATAGATCCATCGACCGACTTTTCCTGTTATTCCTTTAGCACGCATTTTGTGCGCTATTACGCCATGGTCACACTTGTCGAAGGCTTTTGCAAAGTCTGTATATATTACATCTGCATTATTTTTATCTTCTAGTGCATTTAGGACCTTGTCGTAGTGATCCAATAGTTGAGACAGACAGGAGCGACCTGTTCTAAACCCATGTTGCCCTGGGTTGTGTAACTGATGGGTTTCTAGATGGGTGGTGATCTTGCTTCTTAGGACCCTTTCAAAGATTTTTATGATATGGGATGTTAGTGCTATCGGTCTGTAGTTCTCTGCTGTTGCTTTACTGCCCCCTTTGTGGAGTGGGGCTATGTCTGTTGTTTTTAGTAACTGTGGGACGACCCCCGTGTCCATGCTCCCTCTCCATAGGATGGAAAGGCTCGTGATAGGGGCTTCTTGCAGTTCTTGATGAACACGGAGTTCCATGAGTCTGGCCCTGGGGCAGAGTGCATGGGCATGTCATTTATCGCCTGTTCGAAGTCATTTGGCGTCAGGATAACATCGGATAGGCTTGTGTTAACCAAATTTTGTGGCTCTCTCATAAAAAAAATTCATTTTGATCTTCGACTCTCAGTCTGGTTAGCGGCTTGCTAAAAACTGAGTCATATTGGGACTTGAGTAGCTCACTCATTTCCTTGCTGTCATCTGTGTAGGACCCATCTTGTTTAAGTAGGGGCCCAATACTGGACGTTGTTCTCGACTTTGATTTGGCATAGGAGAAGAAATACTTTGGGTTTCTTTCAATTTCATTTATGGCTTTTAGTTCTTCCCGCGATTCCTGACTCCTATAAGATTCCTTTAGCTTAAGTTCGATGCTTGCTATTTCTCTGACCAGTGTCTCCCTACGCATTTCAGATATATTGACCTCTTTTAGCCGCTCTGTTATTCCTCCTTTTTCTTAGAGGAATAAGCCTTGTGCATACATCGAGTGCCACTGAGTTAATCTGTTCTAGGCATAAGTTGGGGTCTGTGTTGCTTAGTATATCTTCCCAGCTTATATCGGTTAGGACTTGGTTTACTTGGTCCCACTTTATGTTTTTGTTATTGAAGTTGAATTTGGTGAATGCTCCCTCCTGACTAGTCTCATTATGTCGGTCTGGGGCTCCACGCATACATGTCTGAACCTCAATTATGTTGTGATCTGAGTATATTGTTTTTGATATGGTGACATTTCTTATCAGATCATCATTGTTAGTGAAGATGAGGTCTAGTTTATTCTCCAGTCTAGTAGGCTCTATTATTTGCTGGCTTAAATTGAATTTTGTGCAGAGATTTAAAAGCTCGTGTGAGTGTGAATTTTCATCAGAGCTGCCTCCTGGTGTTATTACTGCAACAATATTATTTGCTATATTCCTCCATTTTAGGTGCCTTAAGTTGAAATCCCCCAGGAGCAAGATGTTGGGTGCAGGAGCTGGAAGATTTTCCAGACAGTGGTCAATTTTTAACAGCAGTTCCTGGAATTGCTGGGATGTTGCATCCGGAGGCTTGTAGACTACCACAATGACTAGGTTTTGGTTCTCGACCTTTACTGCTAAAACTTCCACTACATCATGTATGAAAGTATAGTAGTACCTACACTCTTATATGGGTGTGAAGCTTTGGTTGTGAATGCAGCAGCGAGGAGGCGGTTGGAGGCAGTGGAGACGTCCTGTCTAAGGGCAATGTGTGGTGTAAATATTATGCAGAAAATTCGGTGTGGAAATTAGAAGGTGTGGAGTTAATAAAAGTATTAGTCAGAGGGCTGAAGAGGGGTTGTTAAGGTGGTTTGGTCATTTAGAGAGAATGGATCAAAGTAGAATGACAGAGATCATTTAAATCTGTAGGGGAAGGAAGGCGGGGTAGGGGTCGTCCTCGAAAAGGTTTAAAGGGGTAAAGGAGGTTTTGTGGGCGAGGGGCTTGAACTTCCAGCAGGCGTGCATGAGCGTGTTCGATAGGAGTGAATGGAGACGAATGGTATTTGGGACATGACGATCTGCTGGAGTGTGAGCAGGGTAATATTTAGTGAAGGGGTTCGGGGAAACCGGTTATTTTTATATAGCCGGACTTGAGTCCTGGAAATGGGAAGTACAATGCCTGCACTCTAAAGGAGGGGTTTCGGGATATTCGGTGGGAGACGGCCGACTTGTTGAAAAAAAAAAAAAATATATATATATATATATATATATATATATATATATATATATATATATATATATATATATATATATATATATATATATATAGATAGATAGATAGATAGATAGATAGATAGATAGATAGATAGATAGGCAATCAAAGTCATATAAGCTCTAATTATAGTGACAGAGCTGTGAAATCACACAAACACGCCTTTATTAGAAATACGTAATTAAAAATAAATGAAAAGAACAACCACATTAGGTTCGTACGAACTCCCGTCTCTGTATTCTGAATAATAAAAATAATTTTAAACTTTTTTACAACCTCTGACAATATTTTTTACGAGAATCCGTTCACTAGCACACACTTTTCTGAAGTTCACTGAAATTTTAATCAATCTCATGCAAGAGGTTGACTGACTTACCCTGAAGCTGATGGTAGAGATGGAACCATTCTCCCGCTGGTACACATACCGCAGCTCCGAGGCCTGGAAGAGCGTCAGCGTCGAGGGTTCTGACTTTATCCAGATACTCTGCCAAAAAAAATCTAGGACATTAATTTGCAGACAGTAGAACTATATACAAAAGATAAGGTAATCACTCCCTCAGCCTTGGAGTTGGTGTGAAGATCACCGTTATAGAATTTTTATGCCCTTCTTTGTGGTAGAATTGAAAATTAAGTATTTTATCCCAATAAAATACACTGACGGAAAATCCCACTTGAATATAACGGAGGTTATATTCACATGGTCAAATATTGCATCATTATTTTATTTGCACTGTAGCTAATAGAACCCTAACTTAGCCATTTTTCATATATCTGTAATCTAATGTACCTTTACAATGTCCAGAGTAGATATTATTAGATTAACCTCCATTAATAGGCCTAGTAAACAGGCACAAAAATGCAGTTATATGAGACATTTATTGGTGACGTTAATAATGGAATACAAAACATAAGAAAAAAATAATCTTTGCAGTTAGGTCCAACTCCATGAACACAATATTTAAAAAAAAAATCATACAAAATATCATTTGTAACTCACTGCTAAAGGAAACGACCGAAAGTATTACTTTCGTTTTGGTCGAAATGAGTAACGAAGTTTACCTGCGGTTCAAAGGTGGAGTGGAAAGTGCCTCTGTTGATGATTGAAATGTTGATGTGGCACTCGTGCACATCGAAAGGGAAGTTGGTGAGATCGAAGTCACAGATGCAGGCAGCCATGAAGTTCTCTTGGCGCTCCAAGATGGCGTCAGTACTCCCGTTGTACACATAGCCTGGTGGTGGTGATTGTAGGGTCAGTTTACCTGGAGTTTACCTGGAGAGAGTTCCGGGGGTCAACGCCCCCGCGGCCCGGTCTGAGACCAGTGGTGATACTGGTGTTAGTATAGTAACATCTGAAGGAAAAGCTGCATTTTAAAGGCAACGTTTCGCCCACTCATGGGGACTCTATCGATACATGGCACATGCGACATGGCAATATATACAAAAAAGGTGCGGTGAAAGTAGGCATTTTGAGGTAATGATGGAGTGGTGATCTCAGGTTGCTGGATCACCTGCATAACTGTGTTTTGGAGAATTTTTCAAGGTGAGTCTAGTTAGAAATTCTGTAATGCTAAATGTCCGCTTTCTCGGTTCGATGGTATTGGAAGTTTGTTTGTGTCCACCCTCTAAATGCAGTCGTTTCCTATTTTCTTCTTTGACAATAATAATTTTAGCCGTTGTCTATTATTATTATTGTTGTCATGGGAGCGCTAAACCCGTAGGGAATATACAGCGCCTGTGGGAGGGGGAAATGAAAGGCATTCAGGTTCAATTCAGGGAACTGGAGCACAGATCCAATTCCCTGGATCAAGACCCCTCACTAGAGTCAAGGAATCTCCTCTGAGGGGGCAACCTTTGTACTCACTTAATTGTGGTTGCTGGGGTCGATCCATAGCTCCTTTGTCCAGTCCATTAGATGCGCCTGTTTGTTCCCTTTGAATAATGCAAGTACTGTTCTCTTTATGTATATTGCAGGCATAGTTGTGTTCAAGGACTCGTGTGAAAGCTCCTTGTAGTCTCCTAGCACACCCAACACAGGTCTGGTAATATCCTCACTGGTTTAAGAAGTAGCTACTGCACTATTGATGCTATTCGTGACAAAAATAATTCTGAAAATCCTGCCATTCCATAAGAGTAATAATTTACCTCATCCGCATATAGGTTGTATATGATGAATGTAAACTGATAGACGATACAAATTAGTACATATAGTGAAGAAGCACTAAAGGGATCACACAATTCCTGTTGAATGGGAGGTAGTCAGGCTTGACCAAGAACCCTTCACCAGCGTCTAGGATCTTCAACAGAAGGGTGCGAGAAGGAGCTTTAGTCTCACCCTCGTAGCCGTCAATACAGTCAACTTTGCCTCGCGTGACCCGAGAGGCGAAGGTGACCAGGAAAGAGTTGCGGTGTTGAGCATAGGAGACACGGTCGTGAAAGACGGCGTTGGTGAGGGAGTATCTGGGGCTCCAGACAGTCTCCTCCGGCAGGATGTTATCCAAGGATGTCTCACTCAGCTGCGACAGGAGTACCCGTCCATCCCTCCACTGAGTATTGAGCTGAAAGAGTGAGAAACATGGGTTTAGCTGCCCGAAGAGCTTAGAGCATTGATACTGGTGAGATATGTAGGGACTTAAAAGCATGTAGATACACATCTGATGTATGTTTATGTGTATTTAACATACAAAGGCAATCGGTAACAAACATACCAAAAAATTTGCATGAGGGGTGTTTGTGACACACCTGGAGCCAGGCGGTGATGTGATTGTTAACAACATCAACATGGTGTACCCGCACCAGCTTGGCTGTGAGTGCCAGTGGTGTCCGGGGAAGCGGGGAGCGGTCAGCACGGTAAGACGACGGTAGCGGCAACAACACGGAACACAGCTCATCCGAGTCGTCGCCACAGTCGTTGACACCATTGCACCGAGACGACAACGGGATGCACCAGCCGTCGTTGCACGTAAATTCCTCCTTTAAAACAGAAATAGTGCCATTATGGACATCCAAATAACAGAAGTTTATTTTTCATGATAGTATTATATTTTACACAGGTTTATTGTGCATGGAAAAAATCGTAGTTATGCGTTAAAATTTTGTCTGTCACGACGTTACGGTTTTTAACTAGCAAATAGTATTCTTGTGTAGAATAGTATAAAAGTTGGTCTCAGTTATCATGTACATTTCTTGGTATAGGAACACTGTTTCACAGGAAAAATTCATTAATAATATGTACTACTAGGGCATCTTTTAATTTCATACAGAACATCAAGATATAAAGAGATGGTATTATCTAAGTCGCTATGAACGTCTAATCAAAGTTTTGTTAGTTCTAACAAACTGTAGTGATCCTTTGCTTATTGAATGGGATGTAAAACATAACTAGGGTAGGTCAGCAAGGTTTTATACCCCAAGGATGCTTGACCACTGCACGGGTCATCACCTCATTGAAACCCATGAAGATGCTGTGTTGCTTTACCTGGAGAGGGTTTCAGGGGGTCAACGCCCCCCGCGGTCCGGTCTGAGACTAGGCCTTCGTGACAGATGAACCACCGTCACCAGTCAGGAACACTATAGTAAAATAACATAAAGTGAACACGCGTAACTTCCCTTGATCTACAGTAATGCAAAAAGCCTCTGATAAACATTACCCTTACTAACTGGCGGTCTGGTAGTTTATTGCTTTTATTTCCCGGTCTCAATTTTTTTATTCCTATTATTACAATCATAAGTAAGCGCTAAATCTAATGGGTCATACAGCGCTGCATTTTTTTTTTTAGGTATTTCGTTTACCAGCGCCCTCTTTAGGTCTGATCTAGGCATGTTTAGTTTGATTCCTGTTTATTTCAGCCTAATTTTTCTTCTTTCTACCTTTACCTGGGTAGAGAGGAGCTGTGTGTAGAGTGGTTGTGTACCTGCTTGCAGACAGTAAGAACCATGGTCTTGGTGGTGTTGGTGTGAGCGTCCCTCCACAAGTGTCGTCCCATCGGCTTGTATGTGCTCATAGTGGCAGTCGCCAGCAGTGCTCCCTCGTAGTCATGAAGAGCAAGGCTTTCAGGCTCTGGGGAGGATATCTGGCGGCCTCGGGGGGAGAAGAACCTGGGCTCTATCCCACGGGGCTCCAAGAAGAAAAGGTCATCAGCACCTGCTGGGCCGTTGTGTCGTAGTTCAATAGGAGACGACCAAGGCACCTTAAAAGACACACAACAAGGAATATTAGACACCAGAACTCTCATTCGAAGTGAGTGTAAAAACGGCTTTAAACTGATCTGAGATACAGTAATTCACGGAAAAAATATATTGCCATAAATGAAAGATATAACTACTTTAATTATACACAAAACATGCAACAAACTAGTGTTCTTGCCGAAGACGTTTATGATTTAATGTCTGAGGAGCTAATTATATGCATGTTATTAAGCTGACTGAATGTAATTAAAGATTAGAGAGGTGCAAAGAAGCTTTGTGAAAACGTTTCTATGTACAGTTTTTCAGCACTAAGTTTATCTTGCTATTAATGACAGACACTATCGACAAGTTGATGAATACGACACATGTGCAACACTTAGGTAACTTTATTGCCCGCAGTAAAGATACCCAAGTGTTGTACATATGCCTTATTCAACACCTAGCGTGTTGATCAGTGGTGAAGCCATGAGAGTCGTACTCACCTGGCAGAGGAGTTTGTCAGCCAAGTGGCTGCAAGAGACGGACATGTCTAGGGCCTCGGCCTCCAGGGGCTGCAGGCTGACCGACCTACAGCTGCTGCTGTTGACACCACTTGACTTGATCCAGGCGAACAGCATCATGTTAGGCAACTCAGTCATCAGCTGCAACATCAGGCAACGTTTTTATTTGGTATTTATACCCTGCTTAAATATACTTAGTATTTCTTCGGAATTTTTTTATTTACTTATATTATCTATAAAATTTATAATAGTACACACACACACACACACACACACACACACACACACACCAAATAACTGCTGCAGCATACGGGCGCCTGGCAAACCTGAGAATAGCGTTCCGATACCTTAATAAGGAATCGTTCAAGACACTGTACACTGTGTATGTTAGGCCCACACTGGAGTATGCAGCACCAGTCTGGAACCCACACCTGGTCAAGCACGTCAAGAAGTTTGAGAAAGTACATAGGTATGCAACAAGGATAGTCCCAGAGCTCAGGGGAATGTCGTACGAGGAAAGGTTGAGGGAAATCGGACTGACGACACTGGAGGACAGAAGGGTCAGGGGAGACATGATAACGACATACAAGATACTGCAGGGAATAGACAAGGTGGACAGAGATACGATGTTCCAGAGAGGGGACACAGAAACAAGGGGTCACAACTGGAAGCTGAAGACTCAGACGAGTCACAGGGACGTTAGGAAGTATTTCTTCAGTCATAGAGTCGTCAGGAAGTGGAATAGCCTAGCAAGTGAAGTAGTGGAGGCAGGAACCATACATAGTTTTAAGAAGAGGTATGATAAAGCTCAGGAAGCAGAGAGGGAGAGGACCTAGTAGCGATCAGTGAAGAGGCGGGGCCAGGAGCTGAGTCTCGACCCCTGCAACCACAATTAGGTGAGTACACACACACACACACACTCACGGTACAGGGAGAGTGACCTAGCAGCAACCAGTGAAGAGGCGGGGGCCAGGAGCTTGGACTTGACCCCTGCAACCTCAACTAGGTGAGTACACACACACACACACACACACACACACACACACACACACACACACACACACACACACACACACACATACATTCAAACGAACCCACACCTGGCCAAGCACGTCAGTAAATTAGAGAAACGAAACTAGTCCTGGAGCTAAGGGGCATGTCCTGTGAGGACAGGTTAAGGGAACTCGACCTGACGACACTGGAGGACAGGAGGGATAGAGAAGACATGATAACGACATATAAAATATTGAAAGGAATCGACAGGGTGGTAGAGACAGGATGTTCCAGAGATGGGACACAGCAACAAGAGGTTACAATTGGAAGTTGAAGACTCAGAGGAGTCAACTCTCCCCAATACACATGTTAGGAAGTATTTCTTCAGTCATAGAGTTGTCAGGAAGTGGAATGGAATGAAAAATGAAGTAGTAGAGGCAGGTACCATACATAGCTTTAAGAGGTATGATAAAGCTCATGGAGCAGGGAGAGAGTGGATCTAGTGGCGACCAGTGAAGAGGCTGGACCAGGAGCTATGAATCGAGCCCTGCAACCACAATTAGGTGAGTACCCACTTGTCTCTGGTCACCCCGATCTAACACACTAACACATGACTGTTGGGTATTCAAGCTCCTACCGCTTAACACTCCTTTGCATCATTCCCCCCCCCCTTTCCTAACCTTCCTAGGACGACCTCTACTACTCCCTCTTTGCACTCTCTTGGATAACCTGTTTTGCTCCATCCTCTTTAAATACCCGAACTACCTCAACAATCCCTCAGCCCTCTGAATAATACATTCACCGTCTTCCAAATTCTATGCTCCTATAATTTTTTATAATACTCACACGAAACAATATTCCCAAACTCATTATCACCGCTTCCAGCCTACTCTTCGCTCCAAAGTTTAAAATTTCCTTTTTTATCCCAATAACATACAGAATATCCCCATGGTTTATTCACTTCAGTCGCCTACGAAACCCACTGCTTACAGAGGAAGAACTCAAACAGGCTTCTCCATGCAACTGAAAGGAAATATTACAAGAGTAAGAACTAGTAAGTTAACGCAAAAGTTAGACTAGTTTGTACACACACACGTACATACACATTCATATATTTTTTACGACTATTGGCTATTAAATATTTTTTCTTAGTTTGTGTTTTACGCAAGTATAGAGGTTGTTAAAGTGTTTATTATTATTATTATTATTATTATTATTTATTATTATTATTATTATTATTATTATTATTATTATTATTATTATTATTATTATATAAAAACAATAACCATAAAGTGAAGAAAGAGTTGTTTTCAACACAAAGTTTTCGAGAAACAATAATCTTCGAGTAAGAAATAATTGCTTCATCAGCGAGATCTTTACCCATTCTTGTCGACATGTAATTATTTTATGAATTATTTAAAGTGACCGATAATTACCCAGCAATTATCGAGGCACATGCACTCTATATAATTGAGTCATGGAATGGAGTAATCAACAACGAAACGTTATACCCTTCTTGTATGGAATATTTGATTAGGCAATATATTCTACGTCACTGATAACACTGTACCACACTGTGGATTGTTGGATGGACTTAGTCTTCATGCTGGGCTACGTAGCTTATATGCCAAGGGTAAACAATGTATATATTGGGAAGCTTACCTTGGGATCATGTGAAACTGGGGATATCTTTCTTGAATGGTTGAGGTACTGGGGGCTGTGTTGATGTGATATAGAGGATACTTTTCTTGGATGGTTAAGGTACTGGGGGCTGTGTTGATGTGATATAGGGGATACTTTTCTTGGATGGTTAAGGTACTGGGGCTGTGTTGATGTGATATTGGGGATACTTTTCTTGGATGGTTAAGGTACTGGGGGCTGTGTTGATGTGATATAGGGGATACTTTTCTTGGATGGTTAAGGTACTGGGGACTGTGTTGATGTGATATAGGGGATACTTTTCTTGGATGGTAAAGGTTTACTGGGGACTGTGTTGATGTGATATAGGGGATACTTTTCTTGGATGGTTGAGGTACTGGGGACTGAGGTTATGTGATACCTCTCTTGGATGGTTGTGGTAGTGGGGGCTGGGGGTATGTGATACCTATCTTGGATGGTTGAGGTACTGGGGAAGGCTGAGGTTGTGATACGGGGGATACCTTTCTTGGATGGCTGAGTTTCTATGGGCTGGAGTTGTGATACGAGAAAACCTTCCTTGGATCGCATGGTGACCAAAACAAGTCTAGGTTTATGCTTCAGAAAAAAAATCTTCCGATACGGCCATCGTTGGCTTACGGATTAATATGGTACGGAAAAAGTTTGTATCACATCGTAGATGATATTTTTAAAATATTTTTATATATATAATATATATATATATAAATAATTATAATTTATTTTATATAATATATATATATATATAATATATATATAATATTTTTAAATTTATATAAATAAAATTAAATATATAATTTTTTTTTTTTTCAAAAAGTGGGCCCGTCTCCCCCGAGGCAGGGACCCAAAAAAAGAAAGAAAACCCCCACCACTTTGACAATTTTCTTTTTTCTTATTTTTTTTATAATCTTTACAGGAAAAGGGGTTACTAGCCCTTTTTCCCCGGTTTTTTTATTTGCTTTTACAACACGCAGGGCTTGGGAAAAGATTCTTTTCCCCTTCCCCCATGGATATAAAAGGAAAAAAATTTAAGCCCAAGAATTTTTAAAGATAAAATCAAAGAAAACCCAGATGAGTGTGTATAAAAAAAATGTGTACATATATGTTTTTGTGTTTACCTGGATTTTACCGGGAGAAAGTTTCGGGGGCCCAACGCCCCCGGGGGCCCGGCCCTGTGACCAAGGCCTCCGGTGGATCGGGCGCCTGATAAACCCGGGCCGGGGTTTGCTGCGGCGGCACGAAAAACCCAACGTTAGCCACAGCCCGGGAGTTTTGACCAAGTGTAAGTAAAAAGTAGAGACATCCCTGTAATCTTGCATTTTTTATGAGACAGACAAAAGACTCTGCAATCCTACCACATGAAAAACCCAATCACGGGCCTTTTCCTTTTTAACCTATTTGGAAAGGAGGGAACCCCAAAGGGAGGTATTTCCTTTCCGCCAAGTGAGTGTAAAACTGAAGCTTGAAATTTGGTTTTACATGATGGTAAGTTGTGGGGGGCTTTTTTTATCTTTTCCCCCATACACATTAAAAATTTCGGGTATGCCCTTGCTACTTCTACTTACACTTAGGTAATTTCACATACATTTTCAAGAAATTTTATATACACCCCCCTTTGGGTTTTTTTCTATTTTCTTTCTATTTCTTGTTCTTTTTTTATTTCCTCTTACCTCCAGGGGAAAAGTGGAACAAATTTTTCCCCCGTAAGCCATGGTGTTGTAAAAAGGCGAAAAAATTTCCCGGGGAGCAAGATAAGGAACCTCTTCCCCTGTATATTTCCCTAAATGTAAAAGGAGAAACTTTCTTTTTTCCCTTTTGGGGCCCCCCCCGCCTCGGTGGGGATAGGGCCCGGTGTTTTGAAAAAGAAAGATAATTTTAATTTATATTTTATAAAATTTTTATTATATATATTATATATATATAAAATTTATACACAAAAAACACTGACTCGGCTAAAGGGAGACTCGAACCTACGCCCCTTAGGCCCAAGGTACGCAGTTTTCCCAAAACTACCCCACCGGACAAACCTTGGCGTGTAGCATGCGTACATTCCCAAACCCAAATGGCACCCGCTTTCGGGGAGAAGGCTTACAGTTTTTTCATCTCACCCCCGGCATGCATCACCCTTTAACTGGGTTTTTTGGAACAATAAAAAAAAATTCACGAGAGCAGGCAAAAAATTTTACACAAACACTGATCTTGGCTAAAGGGAGACTCAAAACCTACAAAACCTTTAGGCCCAAGGTCCCCGTCCCTTTACCAAGGGTTTAAAGCACTGCATACCTTTTTCCCAAAGGGTTTCCCGGTTGGGTTCGGGGTCTCCTTCAGCCAAGATCAGTGTTTATATTTATATATATTTTATATATATATATTTTATATATATATATATAAATATTTTAAAAAAAATATATATATATTTATTATTTTAATATATATATGAAAAAACCCTTTATCTAAAAAGAATAGAAAAAATT